GAGAGAGGGTCTCGCCATGTAGTTGGACCAGGTTTGAACTCACTATGTCGCCCAGGCTGACCTCAAACTTGTGGTGATCCTCCTGTCTGTCTCCCAGGTGTGCACCACCACACACTGTAGGAAACTGTTTTAAATGAACTAGGCTTCACCAAACACTGGAATCATGGGCAACCGTTAAGAATGATGTTGATTGTTGGGCATGGTGGCGCAGGTCTGTAATCCCAGCACTGGGGAGGCTGAGGCAGGAGGATCACTGCAAGTTCGAGGCCAGCCTGGGCTACAAAGTGAGCTCAAAACCAGCCTGAACTGCACAGTGAGACCCTGTCTCAGAAAGACAAAAAAAATTAAAAATAAAAAAATTTGAATAAAATGCTGGGGATACAGCTTAGTAACAGGTTGCATGTTTAGCCTATGTAAGGCCCTGAGTTCAGTATCCAGTACCCACCCCAAAATCAAACAACCAAATTTAAGAACAGTCTATAAAAATGACTGATTTCTATTCTTTTAAAATGTCAGTACAATGAAAGACAAAGCCTAAGGAACTATACCCTTATTTAAAGGGAACTATAAAGACTTAACTAAATGCACTATATTGCACAATCCTAGATTAGATCTTGGCCCAAGAAATAAAATTGTTATAAAGGATGTTAGGGGACAATTGGCAAATTTTGAATATGCACTGCTGATTAGGTCACAGTATTATACCAGTTTTCCTGATTTTGATCATTGTACTACATTGTGTAAAAGGTTGTTCTTGTTCTTCGGAAATTCACACTGATGAGCATGGGGGTAAAAGGGCGCTTACTCTCACATGGTTCAGAAAAAAAATCCTAACATGCATTTACAGAAAAATAGTGATAAGACCAATGTGATCAAGTGATATCCATCGATAAATCTGACATCCTGGGATAGCTTGGAATTCTTTTTAGTATTCTTGCCCTTTTTCTGTGAATTTTAAATTATTTCAAAATAAAAAGTTTCCAAAAAGAAAGAGGACTTGCTGGTGAAATCTGTATTTCTTGATGGAAGGTGCACACAGTGCCCCAGGCTATAGCTACGATGCCTCCCCACGGGATGTGCCCACAGCCGTGCCAGATACTTCCGGAGGACTCTCTCCTCTCGGGCTACTAGAGACGCAGGGTGGCTGACCCCAGCGCTGGCCTGGGCTGGCTCAGGGAGGCAGAATGAAGGTAGGCGTGGTGGTGCACACCTGTAATGCCAGCACCTCTGGAAAGTCACGGTAGGACGATCGATAGTTCAAGCCCAGCTTGGGCAACTTGGGTAGGTGAATTTTCCAAGACAACAAATTTCCTTTTGATTTTGTTTACTCCGATTTTCTATTCTACTGGCATCCCCTCCCTATCTCTAAGGGTCCTCTGCAGGGGATAGAGGCAGAGATAGATGGAACAAAAACTACCCAAAGTTAGTGTTTGCTGTAGGTAATCCGACTGCAAAATGTAGAATTTTAGATTTGGAGTAGAGTTGGGGGAGATGGCGCACACCTACAATCCCAGCACTCGGGAAGCTGAGGCAGGAGGATTGTTGCGAGTTGGAGAGCAGCCTGGGCTACAAAGTGAGCTCAAGGCCGGCCTGAACTGCAGAGCGAGACCCTGCCTCAAAAAAAAAAAAAAAAAAAAAAAAAAAAAAAAAAAAAAAAAAAAAAAAAAAAAAAAAAAAAAAAACAGATGTAGAGTAGAGTAGAATTCAGAATAGACTGTGTTCTTTTTTTCTTTAATTTTTTCTTTATACACAGGGTCTCACCACATAGTCCAGGCTGCCCTTAAACTCACTACATAGCCCAGGCTATATGACGAATTTCTGCCTCCCTGTGCTCCTGCCTCCTGCCTCCCTGGGCTGGGACTACAGGCGTGCGCCACCATACCCAGCTTTGCCTGTGTTCCTTCACCGTGGATGTCGTCAATCATGCGTTCTTCTTGGAAAGCAAAGGTTTCTCCCAGACCCAGCCCAGCATCTTACTCACTTCCCAGAAGGAGAAAAGGAAATCCTAACAAGGCGCAAAGTGGGACCCAAAAGTCCCCTGAGCTCCCTCTGTCTCAGTGAGTAGTTTCAAGTGGAGACAAGGTGCGGGTCCTCTGAGAAGCTCCTGTACAGAGCTGGTGAATTAAGCTTCCTCTCCTGGAAGAGGAATGGGGCGATGCCTCGCCACCCCACACTCCTTTCTAGGTCCTGCCCTCCTGCAGTGCAGGGGCAGCCACTGTGCAGTTCCCTCCTATAACAAAGGAGATGCCATGTCCACAACAAGGGCTGGGACTGCCCAGGGGCCCAGGAGCTGAGCCGAGTCTCCCCGCCTGTCACCTGCCCTCCAACCACACCCACGCGGTCCTGCTTTCCCCACTTCCCCAGGGGCTGTCAGGGACAGCGGCCCCTCCCTCATCCCCCCAAGGTTCCTCTGCTCCCTCCTCCCCATCTCTAGGGTGTCCAGGACATTGTGTGACTCAGGAAACAGCTCAGACGTGAGGCCGTAGCAGGCTGAGGAAGAGGAAAAAGGGGCAGTGGGAGCAGAGGAGGTGGCCCTGCCTCGGGGAGCTCTGAGGGTCCCTTCCTGAAGAGGGAGAGGGGACCTGGGCTGGGGCGGGGGCTCTGGAATGCAGACCCCTTCCCTGCTGCTGCTGCTGCTGCTGCTGCTGCTCCTGCCACTGCCGGGTTTCCCACTTGCCATGGCCAGAGGTGAGACGCGGGGTGGGCGAGGTAGGGCTGTCTCCCCTAGGAGGAGTCCGGGTGGGGGGGGGGACCAGGCCTAGCCCCAGGCTTTGAGGGCATCCTGGGTGAAAGAGGCTTCCCCTGATGGAACAGCCGCAGGTAGAGCCAACGGCCACAGGAGCTGCTCAGACCAGCGCCACGGGCATGGTTCCAAGGGTGGTGACCGCTGGAGGATGGGCAAGAGGGTGCCCACTGCCAGGGATAACCCACTTGGCCCTGGAGCTAAGAGGCAGAGGGTTCTTGCGGCCAGGTTGAGAGGGGAAGGGGGAACAGACGGACACCTGCAAGGGGAAGAGGCGAGGAGAGAGGAGCGGGAGATGGAGACAGGGGAGGTCAAGGGCCCATCGAGTCCCTTCCCAGTCCAGCTGTCCCCACCCCCGGCTCAGCGCTGAGCCCTTCCTGGAGGAAATCCCTTCAATGCCTCCGCCATTCACCTCCTGGGAGCCCGGGGCCCCCCTCCTGACTCCCTGTTGTCTTGCTTCCGGGGGATGGAGCTGGGGGCTGGACTTCAGAGGCCAGAGAATAAACAGGAAAGGGGGTGGGGAGTCATGACTGAAGGCCTGGGACACTGGGACCACTTGGGTACGGGACAGGGGTGTGAAGGACAGGGTGGTCTGGAGCGCGAGTGAGCGGGCGTGGTGAGCTGGGCGTGGGCCGGAGGAGGACAGACCGGGCGCTGGCCCTGGTCCCCATCGGTCTCCCTCTTCACCCCAGGGCTGCTGTGCGGGAGCGCCCCAGAACCCTGCGCCAACGGAGGCACCTGCCTGGGCCTGCCTCAGGGGCCCGGGGCCTGCCGGTGAGTGTGCCCGGTGCAAGTGTGAGACGGAGAGAGGAGATGCCAGGGCGTGGGGAGAAAGCGGAGAGAAGGACATGAGCGAAGGCGACGGGGGAGGTGGAGAAGGGGCGACAGCACCTGAGTTTGCCACTCCCCCGCCTGCCCAGGTGCGCCCCCGGCTTCCTGGGCGAGACGTGCCAGCTTCCTGACCCCTGCCGGGATGCCCAGCTCTGCCAGAACGGGGGCAGCTGCCGCGCCCTGCTTCCCACACCCCCAAGCTCCCCCAGCGCCCCCTCGCCACCGACCCCCAGCTTCTTCTGCACCTGCCCCTCTGGCTTCACTGGCGAGAGGTGCCAGACCCAGCTCGAAGACCCCTGCCCTCCCTTCTTCTGCTCCAAGAAGGGCCGCTGCCACCTGCAGGCCCCCGGCCGCCCCCAGTGCTCCTGCACGCCTGGGTGGACAGGTGAGCGCCGCTGGGTGGCGAGGAAGGCGCGGCGGGCGTGGGGGCCAGGCGGTGGGTGGGAAGGAGCGAACCGGCGCCCGAGAGGCCATGAGCCTTTTGAAGATAAGGCCTCAAGACTTTACAAGCCAACCTGTGGCAGGCAACCCACTCACTCAAGACTGACAGTCACTGGCATCCCTTGCTAAGGTGGTAAAATAGTTCCAAACTAGTTCAAGTATTTCCAAGTTACAGATGCCATGAGCCCTTTAGGGCACCATCTGGGTGTCTCTCCGGGACCCTTCGAGCTCCCCGGAACTCAGCAGCCATGGGTCCCTTTCCTACCACAGACCTCCAGGCTCCGCCCTCTGAGGCCGCCCTGAGTGGTGGGCACCCCTGATGACCCTGCAGAGACCTCCGTGGCGGAGGTGTGCGGGGCTGGAGGGATCAGGCGGAGAGAGACCTGGGGATGCATCCCCGGAAGGAGACCTGGCCCGGGGCAAGGTTACCGCCTGAGAGTAGGGGCTCTGGGGCAGCCACCAGATCAACGCCTCTCTGCCGCTGACTGGTAGCTACGTGACCTTGCTCGGGATCTTCAAGTTGCCTGGGCCCTCCTTGTCAGCAGACGAGCGGTCCTTCAGACGGTGCTGAGAGGATGAGAGGAAAGGACGCTCAGGAAGTGCTTACTTAGCTCAGCACCTGGCACAAAGCACATGCCGTGACTGGCGGTTACCACCGCCGCCCTGCCGTTACCATTGGTTCACACGGCTGGCAATGAGTCTCCTTGTGGTTATTCACAGAGAGATTAAGAGCTGAGACCCTCACTGAGAGGCAGGCCCACCCTCGCAAGGGCATGCGGCCGTTGTAGCACAGCAAGGGGCCAACCTGAGCGTCCTGCAGACGCCGGTGTTTTCCACCTCTGTCTCCCAAGAAAGTTGCCAATCTTCCGGGTTTTCCCAAGCAGGGTCAGTTTCCGACACCTCCATCACGAGGCACAGGTCTCGTTTTCAGTGTGGAAAATGTGGCTGGTCCAGTACAGCCCTCTGAGGCACGGCAAAACTGGTGTGCGGGGAGGACAGGGCAAAGACATGTGGGAGAAGGGGAGGGAAATGTCAGAATTCGAGACCAGCCAAGGGGAGAGCGGAGCAGTCTCGGACGGGCTGGAACACGGGCAGTGCTCCCACGAGCCCCCTCTGCCCTCTGCCGCAGGCGAGCAGTGCCAGCTCCGGGACTTCTGCTCAGCCAACCCCTGCGCCAACGGAGGCGTGTGCCTGACCACCTACCCCCAGATCCAGTGCCGCTGCCCACCGGGCTTCGAGGGTCACACCTGTGAGCGCGATGTCAACGAGTGCTTCCTGGACCCCGGCCCCTGCCCGGAAGGCACCTCCTGCCATAACATCCTGGGCTCCTTCCGGTGTCTCTGCCCGGCAGGCCAGGAGGGTTCACACTGTGCGCTGCAGAAAGGACCCTGCCCCGCTGGGGGCTGTCCGAACGGGGGCACCTGCCAGCTGGTGCCGGGGGGAGACGCCAGCTCTCACCTGTGCCTCTGCCCCCCAGGTGCGTGCTCAGGGAGTTTCCTGCAGCCGCCCTCCCTGGGCAGGAGGGTCGTCTCCTTCGGGCCCCCTCCCCACAATGATCCTGTAACTGTCAGGTTTTACCGGCCTGGACTGTGAGGTGAATCCAGACGACTGTGTCAAGCACCACTGCCAGAATGGGGGCACTTGCCAGGATGGGCTGGGCGTCTACACCTGCCTCTGCCCCGACGCCTGGACAGGTGAGCTGTCGCAGCCGAATTCACAGCGCCCTCGGCCGGGAGAGGCAGACCTGACCGCTCCTCCTCCCAGGGCTCCCCGCTCCAACCCCTTGCCTCCTCCCCGACCCTCTCCAGGCTGGGACTGCTCCCAAGATGTGGATGAATGCGAGGCCCAGGGCGCCCCTCGCTGCAGAAACGGGGGTACCTGCCAGAACTCGGCCGGTGGCTTTCACTGCGTGTGTGTGAGCGGCTGGGGCGGCGCAGGCTGTGAAGAGAACCTGGACGACTGTGTTGATGCCACCTGCGCCCCAGGAGCCACCTGCATTGACCGTGTGGGCTCCTTCTCCTGCCTCTGCCCACCTGGGCGCACAGGTGTGGGGCGAGGGAGCCGGGAGCGGGGTAAGGCGGGTGCGGGGAGCGCTGGGAGCACGAGCCTTGCTGCTCCGGCCCTGCAGGCCTCCTGTGCCACCTGGAGGACATGTGTCTGAGCCAGCCGTGCCACAGGGAAGCCCAGTGCAGCACCAACCCCCTGACGGGCTCCACGCTGTGCCTGTGCCAGCCCGGCTACTCGGGGCCCACCTGCCACCAGGACCTGGACGAGTGCCAGATGGGTGAGGCTCCCCGCACAGAGCCTCCCTGAGCCCAGGCAGGGCTCCGCAGTGGACAGGCAATGGGGAAACTGGTTTTCAAATGAAAGAACAGACACCTTTTCCTTAAATCTGTCCAGCGCTGGCATCTTTCCCAGCACAGCCCACCCCCCGGCGCTGGCTGCCAGGCCCCAGGAGCTGCACCTCCGTCCTGCACTACAAAGATGCAGCCCCTTCCCTGATCTCATCCCATCCAGCACAAGCGGCCCGCGCCTTCCTGAGCCTGGGCCCCCTCGGACTCCCCGCTGTCCCCTCCCGCAGCCCAGCAAGGCCCCAGCCCCTGTGAGCACGGTGGCTCCTGCCTCAACACCCCCGGCTCCTTCAACTGCCTCTGTCCGCCTGGCTACACGGGCTCGCGCTGCGAGGCGGACCACAACGAGTGCCTGTCCCAGCCCTGCCACCCGGGCAGCACCTGCCTGGACCTGCTTGCCGCCTTCCACTGCCTCTGCCCGCCAGGTACAGCCGGGAGGGCCTCGGGTGGAGCGGACAGAGAACTGACCCTGAACCTGCTAGGGACCTAGCTAAGGACGGCCTCGGGCAAGTGGGCTCAATTCCCACTGGATGCTCCTCCTCGAAATACTTCCCCTTCCGAGTGACCAGGGGGACACCGTGAGCTCCAGAAGAGCTGCCGCAGACGGGAGTGAGCCTGTACCCTGCTCAGCCCTGGGAGCCGCAGTTCACTTCATGTGCACAGCTGGGTCTGCGGCACACAGCCCAGCCCGGCTCCCCCTAAGCCTCCGAGCTTTCCCCTGCAGAGATAAGGAAAGGAACGCTGCGAGGCTGCACACACCTCCAGGCTGTTACGGGTGGGAGTCTTCCTGGGAAGAGACTGCACAGCCAATGTCAGGGAGCTGCAGAAAAATCATAGCCAACATGGTGCCGGGTACTATCTGACCATCTCACACATGCTCTCAGCTCAGCAATAGCCCTCTGAGGTCAGTGCTGTCACTGTACCCGCTTTACACATGAAGACGCTGAGACACAAGAGGGCAAGTGGCTCATTGAGGTGCACAGCTGACACTCGGCAGAGCCAGGACTCAAACCCAGGCTTCCAGTTGTAGCCCCACAGTGTATCTCCTCTCTGAGCTCAAGCAGCGCCCCAGGGTGGTGGCACAGGCCACTCACAGGGGAGCATAGAAAACTGTTCTGTAAGGGGCTGGGGATTTAGCTCAGCGGCAAAAGCGCCTGCCTGGCAAGCGCAAGGTCATGAGTTCGGTTCCCGGTACCGGAGAAAAACCAAAAAAGAAAAAAAGAAAACTGTTCTGTAATCTGAGAAACAGACAGCCGGGGGGATGCAGCGGAGGTCTGAAGGCTGATCTGTCTGAGCTCAGAGACAGACCGTGGAGCCTAGGATGGCCCCAGAGCAATGGGGGAAACATGGCAGCAACACAGCTTCCCCAGTGCCCCTCACATCATCCCCTTTCTGCCTGGCATGGAGGGGGACAAGAAGAGCAACTCAGCCAGCAGGCAGACCCCGCTGCCTCACTGCACCTCGAGGACCCGGTGAGACCCACCCTCTGTACACCGCACCTGCTCACTGCTGCCAGCCCTGGGCAGGTCCCAGCGGGAGCCCTGGCTCCCTGAGCCACCCCCACAGAGCAGAGGCCTCAGAGTTCCTCGGCCCAAATCCCAGGCCACCAGCACAGGAGGGGCGGCCGAGGGGCAAGGTTGTGTGGGGGCACCCAGGTCTCCCGGACAAATGGAGGAGTCACCCAGCCAGGACTCTGGCCGAATCCCACCGCTCACCCTGCTCCTGCCCTCAGGTTTAGAAGGGCAGCTCTGTGAGGTGGAGACCAACGAGTGTGCCTCGGCTCCTTGCCTGAATCACGCCGACTGCCAGGACCTGCTCAACGGCTTCCTGTGCATCTGCCGGCCCGGTGGGTGCAGACTCCAGCCCCGCCCCCACCCCAGCCCCACCCCCACCCCTCCACCCAGCTGCAGGGTCGAGGTTCTGGGAGCTCTGTCTAGCCTGCCCAGGCAGCCAGCGTGGGGGCGCCCACATCTCCAACTCCTCTGCTCCCCGGTCTCTCCTGTTCCATCCCAAGTCTCCCCTTGCTTCTTCCCGCCCTCCTCGCTGTCCTGCCAAGCCGCCCGCCCCGACGCCCCTCCTTTCCAGCCTCCTGCACACTCCTCCGTGCATCCTCCCCCACCGGGGCCCGGGCTGGTCCTGGCGCTGCCGCCCTGGACACAGGCAAAGCTAGCACAAGTCCTGCTTGTTCCAGCTCAGTCAGAAACCCTCCTGGACTACGATTACTGAATATTCATCTACTCCAGCACCAGCACTTGGCTTTCTGGGCTTTCTTTGTGCTTTGGAAGTTATGTACCATGTCATTTAATCCTTTCGGTGGCGACAGGAGACAGATTCTTTTCTTTCCCCCAGGCTAGGGATGGAACCCAGGGGCTCACGCACGCCTGGCTGAGCTGCGCCCCAGCCCGGGCTGTTTATCACCCCCTGGGCTGCGGGGCAGCTTGCCCGAAGCTGCCCAGCTGGCAGGTGGCGGTGCTTCCCGCCCTCTGCACCCCCTTCCTGCGGCTCCAGGCCCTGCCCCTCTGTCTTCTCTGGGAAGCCCCACAGGTCACCTCTCCTGACCAGAAGCGCTGCGTTGCGTCTCCTCGATGACCTTGGCCTTCTCTCCCACCACTCGCTTCCCCCAGGATACACAGGCACCTGGTGTGAGGAGGACGTGGACGAGTGTGGGAGCTCTCCCTGCACCAACGGCGGGCGGTGCCAGGACCAGCCAGGAGCCTTCCTCTGCGAGTGTCTCCCGGGTATGGCGGGGCTCAGGCGCTGGCGGGCAACGGAGGAAAGGGCAGAGCCCTGTACGGTCCCTGATCTTCCCGGCCCACAGGCTTTGAAGGGCCACACTGTGAGCGAGAAGTGGACGAGTGTCTGAGTGGCCCGTGTCCCACTGGAGCCACCTGCCTTGATCTCCCGGGAGCCTTCTCTTGCCTCTGCCCATCCGGCCTCACAGGTGAGCAGGGGAGGCGTTAGAGAGAGCAGAGAAAAGTCCGAGTCCGTTCGGGATGGGGCAGGGGTCCGTGGTGAGTGCTTTATGATCGGGATGAGCACCCCTAAAGTAACTCAGAACAAAGCCTGCACAAGCACACAGCCGGGGAGGCAGGGTCGGTGTGACTCTGGAGCCCACGGCGGCCCCGGTGTGGGTGTGGCAGGGTCACGCAGAGGACCAGCAAGCCAGACTGAAGAGGAGAAAGGGGCATGGATGGTGGAGCTGGATCTTGAGGAGCTTGTGAAAATGAATGCCAGAGAGTCTGTGTCAACTGGAGAGGACGGCATGTGCAAAGGGAAGCAAGCGCACTTCGTCTAAGGAGCCCTGTGTGACTCGAGCTTCCAGTGCAGCAAACAGTTGTAGGAAAGTCAGGTCACGCAGGAGCCCAAGTGACAGGAGTTAGCTTCCGGAAGACAGGCAGGCCCCACTGAAGGACAAGGGCACGGGGAGCCAGCCTGCCATGCACAGGAGGCGGACTCCGGCCCTCAAGGACGTGAAAGGCCTGGGTCCTCCGACTCGTCTCCCCACCGCAGGCCCGCTCTGCGAGGTGCCCCTGTGTGCACCCACCCTGTGCCAGCCCAAGCAGAAATGCCAAGAACTGGACCACGAGGCCCACTGCCTCTGCCCCGACGGAAGCCCTGGCTGCACCCCTGCGGACAACTGCACCTGCCACCACGGACACTGCCTCAGGTAGCACCGCCGGCGCCCTCTGCCCTCTTCAGGGGAAGGTGGGAGTGGTGCAGGTCTGTGGGAAATGGCAGGAGGAGATGGCAGCCTCGGCCGAGGCACTCTCCCAGGAGGGAAGAGCTCATGCAGGATGTGGCAGTCGAGGGAAAAGCCCAGTCCAGGGCCACTGTGCCATTCACTGGACAAATATCCACCACGCATTATGTGGGGCGCTGACTCAGGCACTGGGGAAACCGCACAGGGTGGAGGAGACAAAGCGGCTGCTGCCAGGGAGCCTCCATTCTGAGGCGGAAGGCGGGCAGTGAGCAAGTTATGGAAGATGTACACGGAGAAAATAAGGAGGGGAAGGCGCAGCTACGTGAACACTCACAGAGGAGAGAGAGACCAGAGCCTCAGGACCAAGCCAAAAGAAGTCCCGGGGCCTGGCCCATGGGGCAGCGAAAGCATACGCCCTCCTGCTCTGTCTGGTCAGGTCCTCGTGTGTGTGTGACGCGGGGTGGACCGGGCCGGAGTGCGAGGCAGAGCTGGGGGGCTGCATCTCTGCACCCTGCGCCCACGGGGGTACCTGCCACCCTCAGCCCTCTGGCTACAACTGCAGCTGCCCAGCAGGCTACACAGGTGAGGCCCCACCCAAACCATGCACGCCTGGGCTGCTCACCCCCTAATCAAGCGCACGCCCAGGGCTCCGCAGCTCCGTCACCGCTGGGGAGAACTGGGCACGGGCTCCCAGGACACAGTGGGCCGGCAGGGGAGAATATGAGGGCAGCGATGAGAAAGGAGGGGAGGGAAGGGGCCCCTGTTCTCATGCCCACCTCTTTCCCCCAGGGCCCACCTGTCTCGAAGAGGTGACAGCCTGCCACTCGGAGCCCTGTCTCAACGGCGGCTCCTGCAGCCCCAGCCCTGGGGGCTACTCCTGCACCTGCCGCCCAAGCCACACAGGGCCCCAGTGTCAAACAGCCGTGGACCACTGCGCACCTGGTGAGCGATCGCCCCGGCCACAGGGAGATGTGGGGAGGGGCAGCTGCGTTGGTGCCGTATTTTTTAAAACGAGCAGCTGACAGCACCGAGCGCTGTTTGGCTGGCATGTGTGTGTCTCGTGCACAGTGTGACTAAGGTCACAGGCCAGGTTACACAGGCAAGGAACCCAGCCCCTCACGGCCCCCTCTCTCCAGCCCCGTGCCTCAACGGGGGCACCTGTGTGAACAGGCCCGGCGCCTTCTCCTGCCTCTGTGCGGCCGGCTTCCAGGGCCCGCGCTGTGAGGGAGAGGTCCGCCCCAGCTGCGCAGACAGGTAAGTAGACAGCAGAGACCCCAGGGGGCAGGGCAGCCCCTCCACTCCGCTAGCCCCAGGCTCCTCCCCTCCTGCTCAGCGGGCTCCCGGGTGCCGCCCCTCCAGCCCCAGGCCTCCTTCCCACTGTGCGTCTCTTCTGCTCCAGTCCCTGCAAGAACAGGGCGACCTGCCAAGATGGCCCTCAAGGTCCCCGCTGCCTCTGCCCCCCTGGCTACACAGGAGGTAGCTGCCAGGTAAGGGGCCTTGAGCCGGGGGGTGGACAGCGTGAGTAAGGGGGTCCCTCAGGGAAGCGTGGCAGGACAGCCCCACGGAGGGAGGGAGGGAAGGAAGCCCAGGGCTCGGGTCCCGCGTAGGTCGTGTGGCATGAGGAAGGACTGAGTGGGTGTCTGATGCCAAGGCTGCTCTGGAAAGTGGGTCTCGAAGGAAACAGGGAGGGTCACCGGCCACACGCAGGAGTGAGTCCGGCGGTGAGGGCGGTGAGGGCTGTGATGACAAGGCCCCGCGGGGCTGGGGCCTGATGCCTCCTGTCCCTTCCGACCTTCAGACGCCCGTGGACCCATGTGAGCAGAAGCCCTGCCCACGCAACTCCCGCTGCCTCCGGAGCGGGCCCTCCTTCCAGTGCCTGTGCCTCCAGGGCTGGACCGGGGCTCTCTGCAGTGTCCCCCTGTCCCCCTGCCAGAAGGCTGCGCTGAGCCAAGGTACCAGTCCAAGGGCCAGGAGGGAAGGAGATCAAGAGTAACAGTGTCGGGGCTGGGGATTTAGCTCAGCGGCACAGCGCCTGCCTGGCAAGCGCAAGGTCATGAGTTCGATCCCCGGTACTGAAAAAAAAAAAAAAAAAAAGAATCACAGTGTCTTCCTCTGCCTCAGCCCACACAGCCACAGAACGGTGGGCCGCTCTGGCCAAACAACCACCCAAGAGTCAAAATACACACCAAGCAGGGAGTAGGCCATGCCCTTAATCACAGCGCTCAGGAGGCTGAGGCAGGAGGACCGCTGTGAGTTTGAGGCCAGCCTGGGCTACGTAGTGAGCTCAAGACCAGCCTGAACTGCATAGTGAGACCCTGTCTCAAAAAAGCAAACAAACAAATAAAATCAGAAAGCCCAACTGCAGTTATTGATCCCACAGTTCAACACCCAGGGAAGCCTAACACACCCCAGCTCCTGTTACCACATTCAGCACAACTCAAACCGCCAACCAGCCCAGCCAGTGAGACTCCAGCTAACCCAGGGACACAACTCACAGGGAGCAACTCCACCCTGTCGTGTTGGGACTCAGCCAGTGTACACCACATTTAACCTAACTACACTCATTTTGCCCCACTCGACCCCGTCGCACTAACCTCCTGGTAAAGGTGTCCTTGTTATTCAAGTAAGGTTTGTGGAGAGACTGCTCAGGAGACAGCCCTGGGGGTTAGGGTCTGGCTGACGGGACTCACAGTGAGATGCAAAGTGCACCAGGTGCATGCAAACCTCAGGGGCTACTGAGATTGGCCTCACTTGAAGTTTGCCTTGAGTTTTTCTTGGCTAAGGCCCACTTTAAGCCAAGAAAACCACTTCTAACTCTGATAAGCTTGAGAAAAGATATGTCCCTCCAGCCGTGGTGGCTCATGCCTGTAATCCCAGTACTTGGTAGGCTGAGGCAGGAGGACTGCTGCAGTTTCGAGGCCAGCCTAAACTGCATAGTTTAGGGCTGGGCTACAAAGTGAGCTCAAGGCCAGCCTAAACTGCATAGCAGGACCCTGTCTCAAAAAGACAGACAGACAGACAGACAGACAGAAAGATATGTCCTGTGCTGGGGCAGAAAAGGTGGGAGGGAGGACACGATGTGTTCACCTTTCAGGGCCAGGAGTTACATGCAGGGCCTCTCTGCTCAGTGTCCGGAGCCCCTGGACACCCTGTACCACTCCTAGCTGCATCTCTTCCCGTTTGTCTTTCTGCCCAGGCGTAGAGGTCTCTGCCTTGTGCCAGAACGGGGGCCTCTGCATCGACAGCGGCTCCTCCCACTTCTGCCACTGCCCGCCAGGGTTCCAAGGCAGCATATGCCAGGACAGTGTGCACCCCTGTGAGTCCAGGCCTTGCCAGAACGGGGCCACCTGCATGGCCCAGCCCAAGGGGTATCTCTGCCAGGTGAGGGGCCTGGAGGGGAGCGAGGGGAAGGAGGGCAGGACGATGAGGGTGGGCCAGCTGTGGGAAACAGGAGCGACGCCAGGGATGGCCTGCTACGCCGTTCTCCTCCTTTCGCTCACCTCCTACATCTAACCAACCCCAGGCCAGGCCATCCAACCTCCTCCTAAAAATTTCCCAACTCTGTCCTTTCCCCGCAGTGCTTTACTCCACTGCCTCGGGCCAGGCCCGCGCCTGAACATCTGCATCAGCCTCCCAAACACCGTCCCCACCTTCACCTCCATCCTTCTGTTGGTTCAGTCTACCCCACACCAGCGGACCCAGCTGAAAACAGTCGGCTGAGGGCTCGCTTCCTAACAGCCTTCAGGGCTGCCCGCTCCCTGCATGAGCCAGCCCTACCTGCCTCCCGGGCCTCACCTGTCCCCTCCCACTGTCCTAGCCCTGCTCCAACCACAGCAAACTGTCCCTGGCATCTCGCTGACTCCTGCCTCGGCTCTTCATCCCTGGGCGGCCTTCCCACCCCTCGTCCACTGCCTGGGGCCCAGAAGGCAGCTGCCTCAGCAAAATGGGTCGCTTCTCTCTCCTCCCTTGGAGCGGCGAGGGCGGCCCAGGCCACGGAACCTGGAGAGCCAAAGCCAGGATTCAAGTCCAAGCAGTCCGGTTCCCGCAGTCAGCGTCACAGCTTTTGGCAGAAGGCACACGGCAGACCCCAACCCGCCTTTTGCATCACTCTAATTTCATTTTTAACTTTTGTCACGAGCATTTCACACACTTTTGTGTGCAGTGCACTGTTCAGACGTGAGTCTTTGCACTTGGCATCCTCCTTATGAAGCCCCCTCCTCCGGAGGCTTTCGAAGCACCTCGCCCTGGTTCCCACCAGCCCTCGCCGCTCCTGGGGGCTTTGCGAATCTCCTTTTGCTCTGACTCGCTGCGGCCTTCCCCTACCCCATCCCTGCACACCGCTCCTCCTTCAAGAGCCGTGTGTGCTACAGACCTCACCTGCGACCCTTCTCTCACTAGGCAGCCATGGAAGCCTCAGAAAACGGCCGTGGGGCTGGGGATATGGTGTAGGGATACAGCTCTTGCCTTGCATGCACAAGGCCCAGGGTTCGATCCCCAGCACCAAAAAAAAAAAAAAAAGGAACCGGCCATGGAGTCACAGACTCACTCTGAATCCCAGGTCTGCCACCATAGCTGTGTGACTTGCGAAAGTCACTGCGCCTTTCTGGGACTCTTCGTTATCTGTGGTGTGAGGATCAAATAAGACAATCCATGCAGAGCGCTGTCAGGGGGGTTTCATAAGGTTAGGTATACAAATCATGCAGTAAGTGCTAGTCTCTCTCTGTCTCTCTGTCTCTCTGGCTCTCTCTCGCTGTGAACTTCGCAGAAACAGCAATGTTTGTTTTTATATTGTTTCTATATTGCCTAAAACGGTGTCTGGCACAAAATGGACATTTGGTAGATGCTTATGAATTAATGAATAAAGGGGGAGAGGGCCTCTAGGCTGTGCTGGTAGGGAAAGAGGTTCCACCACGGTCTGAGCTGTGTTCAGTAGCAACGCATCACCAGGCTGCCCGAGCCGGGAGGGCTGTGTGTCTCCGAGTAACGGAGTCTCGTGTGGTGCTGAGGCCAACGAAGCAGGCCTCGAGGCCCACGGGTGGCGAGGAGGGATGCTGCCAAGCTGGAAGGTGGCGTCGGGGCAGGCTGTGCGGAGCAGGGTTCACCCGCTGGTCCCCTCTGACCCTCCCTGCCTGCAGTGCGCCCCGGGCTACAGCGGACAGAACTGCTCAGAACTGAACGCTTGTCAGTCCCAGCCCTGTCACAACCATGGAACCTGCACCCCCAAGCCCGGAGGCTTCCACTGCGCCTGCCCCCCAGGGTTTGTGGGGCTGCGCTGCGAGGGGGACGTGGATGAGTGTCTGGACCGGCCCTGCCACCCCACCGGCACCGCAGCCTGCCGCTCGCTGGCCAACGCCTTCCACTGCGAGTGTCTGCCTGGACACACAGGTCAGTGGGGGTCGGGGGTAGAGCTCAGGACCCCGGAGGCACGACTGACAGTCGCACCTGTGAAACGGCCTCGGCCTCCAGCGCGCTCCTGCCTCCATCCCGGGGCAGCTGCCCAGGACCCTTCGCCTGCATGTCTCGAGAGGCTTGTGACATCCGGCCCCACCCCACCACAGGCCAGAGGTGTGAGGTGCAGATCGACCCCTGCCAGAGCCAGCCTTGCTCCCACGGAGGCTCCTGCGAGGTCACAGCAGGACCACCCCCGGGGTTCTCCTGCCGCTGCCCCAAGGTAAGCCGCCGGAAGCTGCCTTGCCTGGCGCCCACGCCCTGATGAAAGGGGAGCGTTGGGGGAGGCTGGAAACCTGTGGGGGAGCAAGCGGGGCCTTGCAGTGTGCAGGCCAACTTCCCGGAATGAGTGGACCTCAGCGGTCAGGGGAAAGGCAGGACCGGTGGTGGAAGGAAGGAAATGCCCAGCAACCATGGGTGTTGCCTAAGAGAAGATCCGAAGCCCCAAGGTCAAGCCGGTGGCCTGGGATAAGCTCTGGCTCTGTAAGCATGGGCATGTGGACCTCACACGCATGGAGTCCATCACAAGCCTTGGTCACGACACGTTCCCACTGGCTGGTGCCTGGCCTTCTCTTACTGTTCTAATCATGGAAGGCCCATGAACCTAACCTAAGAATTACAAGGAAGAGCTCCATCTGCTTACGTTCTCTCCCCCTAGTCTCTTCTCCCAGAGAGAAAGAGGAAGGCACAAGCCCATCTAGTGCCAAGGGTTAAATCAGTGATATAAGAGTTCAGCTCTATTAACAGTTCAGTCTTCCAGGATTTCCATTACGATGCCATGGTCTTTCAGGTGTTGTCGCCCAGGCCTGGGGCTCATGCATTTTCAACATAATATGTCCAGATGTGAAGCTACCGTGAAACATGGTTTCAGCATCCATGAAATGATTAACTTGATGTGCTCCAGAGCCCCTTCTAGACAGAAGAATCTAGGGCCCTCTGCTTGAGGGGAGGCAAGGAATGGGGGCTCCTTCCCCAATATCTGTCCTCCTCACCGCAGGGTTTTGAAGGCCCCACCTGCAGCCACAGGGCTCCTTCCTGCGGCCTCCACCACTGCCACCACGGAGGTCTCTGCCTGCCCTCCCCTAAGCCCGCCTCCCCACCCCGCTGTGCCTGCCTCGGCGGTTTCGGGGATCCTGACTGCCTGACCCCACCAGCTTCTCAAGGCTGCGGCCCCCCGTCCCCCTGCCTGCACAACGGAAGCTGCTCAGAGACCCCTGGGTTGGGGGGCCCAGGCTTCCGGTGCTCCTGCCCCCCCGACTCTCCAGGGCCACGGTGCCAGAAGCCCGGAGCCAAGGGCTGTGAGGGCAGAGGTGGAGACGGGGCCTGCGACTCGGGCTGCAGTGGCCCGGGGGGAGACTGGGATGGAGGAGACTGCTCCCTGGGGGTCCCGGACCCCTGGAAGGGCTGCCCCTCCCACTCCCAGTGCTGGCTTCTCTTCCGAGACGGGCAGTGCCACCCACAGTGTGACTCTGAAGAATGCCTGTTTGACGGATATGACTGTGAGCCGCCCCCAACCTGCACGTGAGCCTGGAACCCACGGGGCTGGGGGGCAGGGGACGGGCAACATAGATGATTTATTACAGCGGGGCCAGAGCCTTGGGCTCCGGGGAGTTTCCACCCGAATAACCACTGCTAAGGAGGTGTGGAAGACTGGACTGCAACCCAGGGAAAGGGCTGGCACCAATATTCGATGCCGGTACAACCTCTATCCCGGCTCCTCTCTAAGAATTCTGGGGGTTTGAGGTGCAAGCCACCCTCCCTAAGCCCCATCACCATGGCACCCAGCACCCCTACTGGAAAAGGGCCTGCACTCTTCTGGGAGACAGGCGTTGGGAGCAGTGGAGAGGAGGTCTCAGAGAGACGGCACGCATCGGCAGGGTCGCCGGGCCACCGTCCAGGGCTGCACAGCTGCGCCTGCTTAGCACCCACGCCTAGAGGCCACAGAACGTCAGGAACTGTCTCTGGGTGAGGAGGGAGGCGGGCGTGGGAGTCCTGAGTGCCCCTCTCCGCCCCCCACAGGCCGGCCTATGACCAGTACTGCCGAGACCACTTCCACAACGGGCACTGCGAGAAAGGCTGTGACACGGCGGAATGTGGCTGGGACGGGGGAGACTGCAGGCCTGGCGGGGGCGACGCAGAGTGGGGGCCCTCCCTGGCCCTGCTGGTGGTGCTGAGCCCCCCGGCCCTGGACCGGCAGCTGCTTCACCTGGCCCGGGTGCTGTCCCTGGCTCTGAGGGTGGGGCTGTGGGTGAAGAAGGATCCTGACGGCAGGGACATGGTGTTCCCCTACCCAGGGGCCCGGGCTGAGGAGGAGCTGATGGGGACTCGGGAGCCCGCTCAGCGGGAGAGAGCAGCCCCTCACCCCCAGCCCCCGGGCAAGGACACGGACTCGCTCAGCAGTGGGTAAGACCCGGGGGTGGGAGCCCACACACCGGCTCCTTTAAGGAGGCAGAGAAGGAGCCCGGCTTGCGTGGAGATCTCAGAGGTGTCCCCCTGCAGGTTTGTGGTGGTGATGGGCGTGGACCTGTCCCGCTGCGGCCCTGACCGCCCCGCAGCCCGCTGTCCCTGGGACCCCGGGCTCCTGCTCCGCTTCCTGGCTGCGATGGCCGCAGTGGGGGCCCTGGAGCCCCTGCTGCCTGGCGCCCTGCTGGCTGCCCACCCTAGCACAGGCACGGGTAGGCAGCCCTTACCTTTGCCCTTTCCTGTGTTCTCACACCAGCAACCCCAGCTATCGGCAATAAGGATCAAATTTCCCAGATACGATGCTGATGCCCAAACTGCTCTTTGTGGGGACCTCACCCTCCTCAGCCCTCACAGCTTCCTCTCACCGGCTCGCCTCAGCCCCCCCCCACCAGCCCGCCGGTTCTCCTCCCTCATTTCCCTGAGTACTCTATCCTAACCTCTGACATAGCCCTCCAGGAAACCTCGGGTTCTACTGCACCTTCCTGACTGGACAAGGGAATCTGCTTATCCCCGTGTCACACAGACCACAGTGCAGAAAGAGTAGGAGTTGGTGTCGTACTTACCAGACGCCTTGCTCTAAACACTGGACCACTTACTCGTGTATTCCCACATGGCAGGATGGTTATCAGCCTCACTTCCCAGATGGGGAAACTGAGGCAAACCGAGGTTACCGCACTTGCCCAGGGGCCTCGGGAGAATAACCAGTCTCCGTCACTGTCTCTCCAACCAGCGCCCCCCGCCCACCAGCTGCCCTGGCTTGTGCTGTGCTCACCAGTGGCCGGGGTGCTGCTCCTGGCCCTCGCGGCTCTCCTGGTCCTGCAGCTCATTCGCCGTCGGCGCCGAGAGCACGGGGCCCTCTGGCTGCCTCCGGGTTTCATCCGAAGGCCTCGGACACAGCAGGCTCGCCACCGCCGGCGGCCGCCACTGGGCGAGGACAGCATTGGCCTCAAGTGAGAGTGAGGAGGACTCGGGTCAGGGAGGGAGTCTCCTGCTGGGATGCTCGGGGTCAGAAGCGATCAGATATACTGGAAGAAGCAGAAGCCAGGGCGAGGAGAAGGGTAGGGGGGCTGCTGAAAGCTTGGAGGCCCTAACTGGTCCTCACCTGGGAAACCCCTGCACCCCCCTTCCAGGGCGCTGAAGCCAGAGGCCGAAGTGGAAGAGGATGGAGTGGTTATGTGCACAGGCCCCCAGGAGGGAGAGGAGGTACCCGGGCAAAGGGCTGGGCGGGAACCGCGGGAGGTTGGTGAGTGGGCAAGGACGAGTCAGTGGCCTTTGCTGATCCTTGCTCTTGCCCCAAGGCTGAAGACACGGCCCCACATCCCAAATGCCAGCCCTGGCCACTGAGCATCGGGTGCGGGGCGCTCCCCCAGGTAGCCATGCTGACTCCGCCCCAGGAATCGGAGCTGGAGGCCTCTGACGTGGACACCTTCGGACCTGGTACATGAGCCGAACCCTCCCTGTGACCCTTTTAGAAGCAGCAAGTCCTTCAGTATCCGAACAGGGACATGATGTTAGTCCTTCAAGAGTGGTTCTCAAAAGTCTGGTCCTCAGACAGCAGCAACACTACCCGGGAATTGTTAGAAACGCACATTCTTGGGCTCCGCTGGGGAGGGATTCAGAAATTTGAGACGAGCAACCTGTTTTGCTGCTGGTGGCTTTTGTTTTCAGTACTAAGGATCCAACCTAAAGGTTGCAATGAGCTACATCCCCAGCCCTTTTCATATCCACAGTATTTTGAGAGTCTCACTAAGTCACTAAACTGCCCAGGCCAGGCTCCAATTGGGATCCTCCTGCCTCAGCTTCCCAGAGTGTTGTGATTACAAGTGTGCACCCCCATGCCTGGCCGCAGTCTCTTTGTGTGTGGTGTTTTTTTGTTTTTTGTCTTTTGTGTGTGTGTGTGTGTGTATGGTACTGGAGATCGAACCCGGGGCTTTGTGCATGCTAGGCAAGCACTATATCCCCAGCCCTGCAGTCTTGTTTTAACCCCTCCAGATCAATCTACCTAGACTCAGAATTTGGGAAGCATTACTCTAGAATTTAAAAGAATAAGGCCTGGGGCTGGGGATTTAGCTCAGCGGCACAGCGGCTGCCTGGCAAGCGCAAGGTCGTGAGCTAGATTCCCGGTACTGGGAAAAAGGAAAAAAAAAAAAAAGAGAGAGAGAGAGAATAAGGCCTTATTCCTTTCACGGGTGAAGAAGCTCAAGCTCAGAGCAAAGTCACTGAGACCACCATCAGTCAGCTTCCTGACACCTGCAGCTGATTCTCCCAGTTTCCGTGTTCTCCCCACCCCGCCGTGTCCTTCCAAGTGACCCACTCACTGCTCCTTCTGACCCACAGATGGGGTGACGCCCCTGATGTCAGCAGTCTGCTGCGGGGGAGTGGAGCCTAGGACCTTCCAGGGGGCGTGGCTGGGAAGCCCTGAGCCCTGGGAACCTCTGCTGGATGGAGGCGCCTGTCCCCAGGCTCACACAGTGGGCTCCGGGGAGACCCCCCTGCACCTGGCTGCCCGATTCTCCCGGCCAACCGCTGCCCGCCGCCTCCTGGAGGCCGGAGCCAACCCCAACGAGCCAGACCAGGCAGGGCGCACCCCGCTGCACACTGCTGTTGCTGCCGACGCCCGGGAGGTCTGCCAGGTCAGCACGCGCGGGGGTCCCTGAAGGGAACGGGGAAGCTCACAGGTAAAACTGGGCAGAAGCACGCTGGGGGTCTGACAAAGGAAACTGATGAGATCGAGGACCTGAGTGAGAAGATGACTGAATATGGACAGGGAAGGGGGTTAAAAGTCCGAGTCCAGGGTACCCCAAGAGTCACAGGCCCTTTCTGTCTCCCAGCTCCTGCTCAGCAGCCGACAGACTGCGGTGGACGCTCGCACAGAAGACGGGACCACACCCTTGATCCTGGCCGCCAGGCTGGCGGTGGAAGACCTGGTCGAAGAACTCATTTCAGCGCGTGCAGACGTGGGAGCCAGAGATAAATGGGGTATGGGGGGCGACGGAGAAGCTGAGCCCATGGGGTGTGCACCCAGCTGTCACGGTGCCGCGAGTCCCCCATCACTCTCAACACACACCGCCCGGCCCACAGGGAACTGGGATGGAGAGGCGTCTGTGGGAAGCGAGAGGGGTCTCCCGGTCCCACCGCCCCAGAACAATGCCCATTGTCCCTCCGCGCGCCAATGACGTCACCAGGGCATCGCTTCCGGCCGGCCGGCGGTCACCAGGGCAACGCTTCCCCCCTCAGAGCGACCCGAGGAGCCCTCCTCCCAGGGCCAGAATCCGTGGGAACCCGGAACCCAGGTGCCTGGCCCCGGCCGCGGGGTAACCAGCTGCCACGCCCTCCCCTAGGGAAAACCGCGCTGCACTGGGCCGCTGCCGTCAACAACACCCGGGCCGCCCGTTCCCTTCTACAAGCCGGAGCCGATAAGGACGCCCAGGACAGCCGGGTTAGACAGGGAAGCAGCCGCCCGGGAGGAAAACGGACGTGGGAGACGCAAAACACGGGAACCCCGCGAAGCCTCGGGGCGGGCCCGGCCGGGTCGGCGGGCGGGGCCGTTCCTGACTCCGCCCCCACTGTTCCCTGCCGCGCAGGAGCAGACGCCGCTGTTCCTGGCGGCCCGGGAAGGCGCAGTGGAGGTGGCCCAGCTGCTGCTTAGACTGGGGGCGGCCCGCGGCCTGCGGGACCAAGCTGGGCTGGCGCCGGGGGACATCGCCCGCCAGCGTAACCACTGGGATCTGCTGACGCTGCTGGAAGGGGCGGAGCCGGCGGAGGCGCGTCACAAGTCGGCGCCGGGCCGCGAGGCCGGGGCCTTC